CAGGCACCATCAGTGAGGAGGCTTCCCCAAGGCCAGAGTTCCCCAGTGGACGGTTCCCATGACTGTGACGCAGGGATCAGCCAGTTTTCCCTGAAGCCATCTCCCCGGGGCCTTTGAAACATTCCCACCCCAATCACCCAGTTCTTGAGGGATCCTGCTGACAGAGTTTGGCGCTGATGGAGGTTGACGCTGCCAGGTTCCCAGTCCCAGGCTGCCACGGTGTTTGCAGTCAAGCACACGCTTTCCATACTGGCCACTCGCCCTCCTTCCAAGGGGGAGATGCGTCTTATGGAGAGCCAGTAAAGGGAGACTTGGAGGCAGGGGCTTAAAGGGCCCCCGGGGGCCAGACTCTGCCTGCAGTGGGGTTGCTGCCTCCGAGTACCCCGGGGGGAGAGGAGGCTTTGAGATGTGCAGAAAAGCCCCCCAGCAGTGGTCCAGGCAGGGCTTGCTTTGTGCTCAGATCTGTTTTTCAGGCTGGGTTTTCAGGCTGTGCGTGTGTGTGACTTGCGTTCCTCCGTCTGTCCTTGGAGATTCTCTGCTCACCCCTCCCTGGGGTGGAGGCTGGCTAGACAGCATGGATGGCCAGGTATGGAGGCTGGGAGGCTGTGTGACGGAAGGAAGGCCGCTCGGTCATTCACTCCCACCCTGCCCTGGGGTCTTATGTTGAAGTATGGAGCCTGACTGAGTCCAGGGTTTGTGGGAGAGGGACCCAGAGGGGCCGGCTCTGTCTGTCTGGCTGGGGACATCCTCTCAGGTAGTTCATGTCCTGGACCTACTGCTGGGGTGTCCCATGCCTTGAAGAACATGCAGCTGCATTCTGGCCTCCACTCCAGGATAGCAGCAGCCACCCGGTGTCATGACACCCTCATGTCCCCAGGCGAGCTGAATATCCCTTGGCCGCCATGGAGGGTGGCGGGTGTTGTCCCCAGAGTTTGTCCCCACTGCCGAGTCTCAGTCCCGACCCTACCCCTCCTGCCGCCCTCCAAACCAGAGCTGCTCTCAGAGGCAGATGGCCGAGGGCAGGCAGAGCCTAGGGACGGCTCTGGGGGGTCCAGCTGTGTCGCCGCACTGGGCTGCAGACCTGGTGCCTGCTCTGTGGCGCCGTGGAGGGGCAAGATGGCCTGCGTTTGGTCTGGCACCCAGCGAAGCTGCCTCCTGTCCTGGGCCAGCGTCCAGCTCAAACTGGGGCAGCCAAGCCCCGTGGGCTCTGCTGCAGGCACATGCATGGGCACCAGGTCCCCAGGGCAGTTCACTGTCAGAGATGCCCCTGCACTCCCCCACCCCACCCAGTCAGTAGGGGGCCACGCACTGTGTCTGTGGGGACAGCTTAGAGGGACTTCGGGGTCCCCAAACAGACAAACCCTTGGCAAGCCTTGCCTGTCCAGGGAAGCAGGCCCTGCCCTCCTGCCTCTCCCTACACCATGAGAGTGAGGAGCCAGAGGACCACCAACCCAAGGGCGTAAAGCCTGGGTTCTGTCCCTCCGCACACAGCAGGCCGTCTGCAGGGAGAGAAGGTCCCAGGCTCCTGCAGCCTGAGAGGTCCTGGCCACACCGGCCCTAGGAGCGGAAGCCACATGGGAACCCATCTGTGCCCCAAGTGGCCGTGCTTTCCCGGGAGTTTTAGAGGCTGCTATTGTGCGGTGGGTGGTCTTTCCCAGCCCTGTGGTCTCAGGAGATCAGTGAGCCCCTGGGTGCGGTGGCTCATGCCTGTCACTCCAGCACTTTGGGAGGCAGAGGCAAGAGGATTGCTTGAGCCCAGGGGTTTGAGACCAGCCTGGGCAACTTGGTGAGGCCTTGTCCCTGTAAAGCACGCATATTGCCCAGGCCTGGGGACTGCTTTGCCTGACTCTTGCCGGGAGACCCATGCACATCTCGGGCCTCCTTCCTCAGCAGAGGCAGCCAGCTGCCCCGTGAGGTGATCAGATACTGTCTCTGTCAGCAGGAGCCTGGAGGTCAGGTCATGGGTTGGAGGTGTTTGGGGTGACCATTGTCTGAGGTGTCCTGTCCCTTGGCCTGGCTGGGTCTGTCCAGAGGCTCCACTCCCCCAGCCCCTGTTAGTTCCAGACATGGTGGGATGCCGGACCTTGACTACCAAGCATCTTGACATATCTTCGTGCCCCTGGGCAAGTGCCCATACCTCAGTTTCCCCACCTGTAGGACAGATGCCTACTCTGCCCCCAGCAGCAGTATGTGGGCAAGGCCCTGGGACATAGCTCTGCACGTGTAAAGGAGCTGCATGTTCCAGAGCTTTCGATAGGAGAGTCGGGGGAGGCCGAGGGGGCTGTGGGCACCTTGGCTGAGGCGCTGTTAAAAGTGTCCTGTCCTGAGCCGACTCTGAGCTGCGCCCCACCCCAGGCCTGCATGTCTAGCCTGGCCTCTGACCCCCTGTGACTGGGACTTGGGACATGCAGACAGCAGGCCCTGGAGTCTGCTTTCGTTGGGAGATCAGGGCGTTGCCGGGGGTGGGGATGGGCAGGCCTCAGGGAACCCACACGTGTCCCCAGCACAGGCCAGAGATCAGAGCTTGAGAGACACCTCCCTGGGCAGAGCTGCACACACCCAGAACTCCCACAGGAGGTGGACCCGACACAGAAGCGGGCCCTGTCTTGAAGGCCCCAGCATGGTGTTTGCCAGGAAGTCTGTGTTGCCTTTGAAGTGTAAGCCCCGTTTGGTGTGAATGCCAAGTTTCTGTGGGACCCTCCCTTCGTGGGTCTCCTTTGAAGCTTCCTTACTACTTAATTTCTTTTTTTTTTTTTTTTTTGAGTTGGAGTCTCACTCAGTCGCCCAGACTGGAGTGCAGTGGCCGCTCCCGGCCACCGCAGCCTCGACCTGCTGGGCTCTGGCGATCCTTCCACCTCAGCCTTCCAAGTAGCTGGAACTACAGGCACGCGCTACCATGCCCAACTAATTCTTGATTTATTGTAGAGATGAGGTCTCACCAAGTTGCCCAGGCGGGTCTCGAACCCGCGGGCTCAGGCAATCCACTCACCTCAGCCTCCCAAAGGCGCGGGATTACAGGCTGAGCCACCGAGCCCGGCTCTAATTTCTTTTTATGGTGTCTGTTTTTGTTGTTATAGTGACAGGGTCTCACTATGTTGCTCAGTTGCCCAAGCTGGTCTCAAACTCCTAGCCTCAAGCGATCTTCCCACCTTGGTCTCCCAAAGTGTTGGGATGACAGTCGTGAGCTGCCATGCCCAGCTGACACTTTCTCAGCTTCTGTCATCCTGCCATGTTCCTGGGGCGACCAAGGCCATGACTCTTGTTGGGCCCCCATGGGTCCTCCGTATCCCCACCCCCAGCCCTCTAGTATCTTGACCAATGTAGCATAGTGTGACTCGGGCAGCCCTGGGGGACTTCCAGCCTGGCCCCATGAGACTTGGTCGAGTGACTTTTCCTTAGCAAGGTGGGGAACAGACCCTGGCTGACAAAGCTGGGAGGACTCTGTTAGAAATAGTCCCCACGTAAGTTGGGTGCGATGGCTCATGCCTGTCACTCCAGCACTTTGGGAGGCAGAGGCAAGAGGATTGCTTGAGCCCAGGGGTTTGAGACTAGCCTGGGCAACTTGGTGAGGCCTTGTCTCTATAAAAAATCAAAAAGTAGCCAGGCACAGTGGTGTATGCCTGTAGTGCCAGCTACTTGGAAGGCTGAGGCGGAAGGATCACCTGAGTCCGTTGAGTCTGTGATGGCCATGAGCATGCCACTGCACTCCAGCCTGAGTGCCAGAGTGAGACTCCAACTCAGAAAAAGAAAAAGAAACAGTCTCCACGTTAACATGCAGTGCACGGCTTGACCAAGAATTTGACTTGTGCCTCCAGCTCTGTGGTCAGCAGGAGGGGGTGTGGTTCCGTTGGTGTCTTTGGTCTTGTTTCCAAGTCCTTTCTGAGATGCAGTCGGCTGTGAGAGGCATGTCTGTTCTCTGGCCACCCCCAGTGACCCAGAGCCAGGAACAAAAGCCCATGAGGCAATTGAACTGCAGCTCACAGAGAGCTGGCCAGCCTGGCCGTGCCCAGGACGTTGGTCTGTTGGGCTGCTCCCTGAGGGGCGCAGATCTCTCCTGGGCTTGGTGCAGGGGCTGCATTACAGAGGCCAGAAACTGTCATGCCCGCCAGGTGACCTTTCTGAAACACCCTCATTCTATGGTATCTATTTGCATGGTTGAATGGGGGCTCCAAAAAGTGCGTCCACCTGACCCGTCACTGTAAGTGACCTTATCTGGAAAAAGGGTCTTTGCAGATGCAATTGAGGTCTGAGTTTGGAATGAGGTCCCCTGGCATGGGGCCCTGAGCCCAGGGACAGTGTTCTCAGAGGAGAAAACCGAGAGCTTTGCACACGGGGCCAGGCCAGGCTGTGTGGAGGCAGGTGGGGTTGGAGTTGGCCTCTGTGCCATCCCTTGTTTCCAGGCTGCCGCGGGCGGCACGCTCACTGAGCTCCAGCAGTGGCCTGGGCCTGCAACCTTTCCTTGTCGGCTGTGCGAGGGCGGGAGATCTGTCCAGGCTTCTGCCATTGTAAGAAGCCGGGTCTAGCTGGGGCAAGCCTGGGTCCTCCAGCCTCGTCTGCCTCAACACTCATGTCATGGGGTCTCTGGGGAATGTTATGGAAGGTGATGTGGCTCGGCCCCTCCCTCCTGTCCTGCACACCAGGCAGGAGCAGACATGCCCGTGTGGCAGCTGCCGGGTTCTCCTTAAGAGCAGAGCATCTGGGCTGTCTCCACGGTGGCTGAGGCTACAGAGTTGCCCTCCCCTCTGGGGTGAGCCCAGGCTGGCAGTGGGGTCACATTCACCTCAACCCAGGTGTGGTTGGGACCCTGCACCCCTGTCTGCTGTCCCCAGCCCCCAAGAGTCTGGGACGTGTACGGGAAACATGGCTCTGCAGGTGCATCCAGTTTGTTGCCGTGAAGCATTTTTGTTACAGTGTTTTGCTCTGGGAACATTTTGGAACTCGTAGCGTGACCTCTGTTCAGCACTGTAACCCACCATTTCTTTCTGTTTGGCCTTTGCCAGGTGATGTGTCCAACCTGGACCCTAAGTCTTCGTTTGAAGGCACCAAATTAGATGTGGGGAACATTGTGCTGGCTTTGTACAGCGGCCTCTTTGCTTACGGAGGATGGTAGGTTCCAGAATTTCTGGGTCCCTTGGGGGGGCACAGAGTGTCCAGAAATCCTGAGTCTCCCAGCCATCCAGGGGCCGTTGAAGGGAGTGGGTGGTATGGGATGGCTGATGGCCCTCATGGAGCCACGTGGAGCCGAGCCACGTGCATCCCAGAGAGCAGGGGCAGCTACCCACCATAGCTTCAGCCACTGCAGAGGCATCCTGCATGTGAGCCTCAGTGGGCGGGGGGGGGTCACTTCTGTGGCCTTGGGTCCTCCAGGTCCCAGCTGGTCCCTGCCGTTAGGCTGACTGGACAGGGACACGAACCGCCGTTAGGTGAGAGTGGGGAAGATTCTGGCAAGCAGGTGAGGGTGGACAGGGGCCCTGGGGCTCTCACGTCCAGTGACTTCCAAGCTCCATGGAGCAGCCTGGCCATGAGGGTCTCCTGGTTCTGGGGTCTCTCCAGGGTACTCCTTTTTCCCCCTGATGCTTTCCTGTGTTCTGATGAGGAACGTGGAACTGAACTCTGCTATCTAATTCTAGGAATTACTTGAACTTTGTCACGGAGGAGATGATCAATCCTTACAGGTGGGTGAGAGCCCAGACAGGGACGTGATGATCCTAGTGATAGGAGGAGATGTCACAACCATCCAGGGGCTGTGAGGGTCCCTTCTGGCTTGGGCTGAGCCGTGGCCAGAGCTATGGGGTCTGCAGGATGTGGGTGGGTGGCATCTGGGCCCAAACGGGCGGCACAGTGGCCAGGTGGCCTTGAGCAAGTCTTCCCCCGAGAATGGGCAGCATGTCCCTAGCCCACAGCAGCCCAGACACAGGAGGGTGGACCTATGCCCCCCACTCCCGAGAGTGTGTGCCTCACGGGGTGAGACGGGCTGAGAGAAGCCTCTATGGCTGTCAGCCCTGGCCACCCAGGGCCCCTGGGGAGGCTCTGGGTGTGGGGGCGGGTCCTAACTGTGCAGCTCACAGAATTCAGCCGGGGCAGCCTGACAGGACTCTTCCTGAGCCCTTGCGGTCACCTCAGGTGGAAAGCTGAGGCTGGGCCCCATCACCTGACCGCCAGCACTCCCTGGAGCCTCCCTGGGCAGGAGGCCTGCTAGCTCCTGGGGGTAGCCTGCAACCAAGTTGCCAGGTGACACGCGCCCTGTCCTCCCAGGAACCTGCCTCTGGCCATCATTATCTCACTGCCCATTGTCACTCTGGTGTACGTGCTGACCAACCTGGCCTACTTCACGACCCTAACCACCGAGCAGATGCTGACGTCGGAGGCCGTGGCCGTGGTGAGACATGACAGCTGGCTCCCGCCCACGCCCCTGCCCGGGCTTCTCCTGCCCTAGGGGTTGGACAGTTATCTGGGTCTCCGCCAGCAACACAGAGGCCTTGCCAGGTTTCAAGTGCTGGGGATCCTTGACCTCAGCCTTGGCTGCCTCTAGAGTCTTGGGTGGTGGGGATTTGAAAATTCTAGTGCCCCCGCCCCATGCGGAGGCAATCTCAGTCAGCATGGCTGGCGTGGTCCCAGGCAGGGGTCAAGCAAATTCAAGCCAGAAGAAGTGGAACCGGTCACGACCTGGCAATGCACGGCTGCCTTGGCAGGCGGTAGGCCAGGCCCAGGCAGCACCCGCAGCACCCATAGCCCCGAGGCCCCTACTTGCTGCCTTCCTGGGGCTGGGAGAACATGGAGTGGGCAGCGTGGCCCGTTCCTCACTTCAGTGTTGACTGAGGACCCACTGTCGACAAAGCCCCATCCCGAGCCCCGCAGAGCATCCCAAAATGGGGAGGGGTGGGTGTCCCTGGCTCCAGATGGGCATCTGCTCCTGATAGACGTGAGTGGGTCAGGCACAGTGAAGGTGGGTGGAGGCTGGAGGCCGGGCCATGGGTCACTCGCAGGCCTCAGCTCAGTGATCCTAGGGACCTGGTAGTGCAGAGAAGGGAGAGCAGGTAGGGTGGTGAGTGCTCCCCTCGAACCCCTGCATAGGGGGCCCGGGAGCAAGTAAAAGACCTTGGCCCCACTGGAGTCCAGAATCGTTTGCCAAGAGAGCCCTCTGTGTGCAGGAGCCTGTGGCAAGGGTGGGGAGGGCCGGGGTCAGCCTGGGTGTGGACTCTGCCCTTCCTAGTGGAGGGGCATGGTCATGGCTGGAAGTGAGCCCGCCGGCACCCACCGCGTAGGAGGGCTCACCCGTGTGTCTGCCAGGACTTCGGGAACCACCACCTGGGCGTCATGTCCTGGATTATCCCGGTCTTCGTGGGCCTGTCCTGCTTCGGCTCAGTCAACGGGTCCCTGTTCACGTCTTCCAGGTGAGCCTGACCGGGGTCCTTGACCATGGCGGCTGGAGGCAGCCCCCTCATGTGGCTTATCGCCCCCCACCTCCACAGTTCCATTTCTGTGACAGCGACATGTAATTTCTAAAAGTTCAAATAGTTTCCAAATAAGGGAGTGGAGCCTTGGCTTCCACCCCCAATGCCGCAGCCCAGAGTTGACATGCCTGCTCTGTGTTCTGAAATTCCTCCTGCCCCAGGCGTGTGAGCAGTGGGGAGCTGGGTGGCTCAGCTGTGGCCGGCGAGGCCAAGGCAGGCTGAGCGCAGCCCCATGCACACCCTGTGCCATCTCCGCGTGACTCCTGCTGTGCTCCGGGTTGCAGGGTGACGGCTGGCCCCTCTCCCTTGTCCACAGGCTGTTCTTCGTGGGGTCTCGCGAGGGCCATCTGCCCTCCATCCTCTCCATGATCCACCCGCAGCTCCTCACACCCGTGCCGTCCCTCGTGTTCACGGTGAGCCTATGCATTGCTCTGAGCCTGTGAGACTCGTGGGGCAGGGGGTCTGACGCCTCTGGGCACTCCACACACTCCAGCTCTGCCCCTCCTGCAAGTGCTCTGGGCTGCAGCCCTGAGAGCCAAGGGCAGATACCAGGTTGTGTGGGCGAGAAGTCAGCACAGCATTTCTACACACAGCCCATCCCTGCGTGCCCGGCATCGCACGTTGCAGGGCACGCTTCAGTGTCTAATTCCAAAAGTAGTACAATTTCAACAGTCCAGAAATGTGGCAAACAAAGCCCCTCTCCCCACCCAGCTGCTCTCTGCAGGCCACCTTGCTCGCCTCCCCCTGGCCTCACAGGGTGTCCGAGCAGCCCAGTCGTGAGGACCAACCAAGGGAGTGAGCAACCTGACCCTCACAGGGGTGGCCTGCACCAGGGTCACATCACACATGTGTCTGCCTCTTGTCTCATGTCTTTGTGTCAGTGCACGTGATTGTGTGTGTTCTCTGTTGCTGTGTAACAAGCCACCCCAGGACCTAGTCTACAGTGGGAAGCATTTATCGCCTCACAGTTGGTGTGAGTCGGGCACTCGGGCGGTTCAGGAGGTTGTCATCTCAGGGCTGAGTGTTATCCGAGGGCTTGACCAGGGTGGGAGGCTACTCCCAAGTGGCTCTGCTCCCAAGTGGCTGAAGGCCCTGTCCCTCAGCACACAGCCCACTCCATGGGCTGCCAGTCATACTGTCGGCCACTTCCCCTAGAGCTATGGGCCCGAACCGCAGCCAGGGAAGCCACTGTGTTCTTAGGGATGAGCCTCAGCCGTCCCGCTCATTGCTTCTGCCTCGTTTTGTTAGAAGCGAGATAGTGAGAACAGCCTCACCAAGAGAGAGGGGAGAGAGAAGGGAGGAGAATCAGACACACCCTGGGCACCTTCTAGGACTACCACGCGGTTTAAACTCAGCCTTGGGCAGCTCGTGGCTCTCAGTTGCACTGTGTGTGTGTGTGACTTTTTTTTTTGAGCCAGTCTCTCTCTGCTGCCTAGGCTGGAGTGCAGTGGCATAATCATGGCCTCCGCAGCCTCGACCTGCTGGGCTCAGGTGACCCCTCCACCTCAGCCTTCCAGGTAGCTGGAACTACAGACACACGCCACCACGCCCAGCTAATTTTTATTTATTTATTGTAGAGACGAGGTCTCGCCAAGTTGCTCAGGCTTGTCTCAAACCCCTGGGCTCAGGCAAGCCTCTCACCTCAGCTTCCCAAAGTGCTGGGATGACAGGCATGAGCCACTGTGCCCGGCTAGCATGTGGCTTATTTAAGGGATCCCGTGCTGAACATTTGGGTCAGCTCTGTTGCTGTCCATATCCGCAATGCTGTTCCCTTGTCCTTAGAACCCACTCTCTCCATTTCCTCACTTATGTCTTCCTAAAACCGTGCACGTTCTCAGACTCAGTTTCTCTGAGAGAGGGCAAGGGCCGTCCTGGTCCGGGTGGCTGCCGTGGCCCTCTGGTCCACCACACCCTGGGTTCAGCCGGCACCCTTTCTTCCAGTGCATCATGACGCTGCTGTATGCCTTCTCCAGAGACATCTTCTCTGTCATCAACTTCTTCAGCTTCTTCAACTGGCTGTGCGTGGCACTGGCCATCATTGGCATGATGTGGCTTCGCTATAAGAAGCCCGAGCTGGAGCGGCCCATCAAGGTGAAGCTGGGCCCTTGGGGATGGGTACCTCCAGGGCCCTGCATTGGGAGCCAACACCCGGCACAGCCTCCGATCCTGCCCCTGCCTTTGCTGGGGGTGCCCAGGTCGGGCCATGCCTCCCTTAGCCACGATGCCTACATCTCCTGTCAGCACACCAAGACCTTCTTCAGGGTCCTGGGTGAGCAAAGTCCCATGTGAACGTGGCTTTGAAGCAGCCCCAGGCAGCTCATTAATTCAGCTGCATGCTGACCACCAGCCTCCTGGTGCCTTCATGCTTCCAGAAGCCGAGGGTTGTCAGCAGACAGCAGGCCGGACACAGCCCTGCCTCCTTGGGGCTTGTGTCTCAGCAGGAGGGGGGAGGAGTAGATAGGGGAGTGATAGTCATGGGTGGGCGAGGGGTGGACCTGGCAGGCAGGGGATGGAGATGCTCTGTGCGGCATCGAAGGGGCTGTTGGCACATATCCAAGCTGTAGGTGGGTGGGAGTTGGTGTCTGGGGACCACCACAATGGAGAGTTTGGGGTGCCTGGCCCTGACACGCTTTAGGGCACCACGTCTGTGCACTGTGTTCAGGAGGTCACTGGCCTGGACTGCCCTGGGGACTCAGGGTACAGATGGAGACCTGGGCCTGGGTGCCCCGCCCCTTGGCAGCCCTGTGCTGGGGGGGGGCAACTGCTGTCAATGAACGTCAGACTCCTGCCTGGGTCCAGCCACATCCATGGTCACGCAAGTCAGGGCATGATGGCAGAGTTTTGGTGGCCACTGGCCAGCAACTCCTGTGGCTCAGCCTGTGGCCATCATAGTGAGGCTGGGCCCCTGCTGGGGTGGGGTCTCCAGGATGGTAGGGATGGCACAGTGGGGAGCAGGGTGGCTCCAGGCCCTGGCCGCCTCACTCCTGCCTCTTCCCAAAGGCGGGGCCAGAGAGGGCTATGGAGGGCCTGACTGGCGAGTGCCCACCCACCGTGAGGGCAGCTATACCTGCCGTGCCTCATCATGAAGGGTGACCGTCAGCAGGAGTCCAGCCTGGGCCCAGCATGGAGAGATGGTCAAGGGAGGGCAGGCACGGGCAAATGAGGGGCTCTGCTCTGTTCCAACGAGTTGGGCCTGTCCCTATGGGAACCTGGGCACTTGGTGGGTCTGTGTCCTGCATGGTATACTCTGTCCCTGGAAACACCTGAGTGCCGTTGCGGGCCTGCTCCAGTGTTCATCTGGACGCATGGTGGACATTTGTTCCCTTGGGGCCAGGGTAGGCAGGGTAGGTCTGTGCTGACCAAATAGGACCATGCAGCTCTCCATCTCTGGGAACCTGTCCGTGTGTGGTTTCAGGACAGCTGGGCTCTGTGGACGAGGATGCCTACATGATGCCTGAGCTGTGGAGGCTGGCCCTGTCTGCAGTTGCCTGTGGCTCTCGGCCCAGCCTCAGTGCCTGGTGGAGTCCACTTTGGAGACGACAGTTTGGACTGTGGGTTCAGGGCTGGGCTCTGACTTGGCCCTGTCCACAAAGGGGTCTCTGAGAAGGCGGGTCCCCTCACCCGTTAGTGGGTGGCCACAGGCTTCCCGGCAGCACCAGGCCTGTCCCTCCCCTGGGCACCCGCGGCAGGGGCATCAGCCGGGTGGGGCTTTCCGTGCCTGTGTTGTGGGACCAGGAGGCGGCCTCCCCTGCCCTCTGGAGGCCAGGCAGGTTCCTTCCACCCGTCAGCACCTGGCGAGCTCTACTCAGAGTACCCAACAGCGTGTGTTGAGTCAGGACACTGGTAGCAAGTGCGGCCTCGGGTCTCCACAGGCCTGGCCAGAGTGGGGCAGCTGCTGGCATTGCACAGCAGGTGTGAAGGGCCTGGGTGGCAGGGGGATCCGGGGGGAAGGGCCCCGGGTCTGGGTGTGTTCAGGTGCAGGAGGAAGGTGGGCAGGCCAAGAGAGAGGTGTCTCTTACGTGACTATGCGGCTGCCCCCGGGCCGTGGGTAGACACTCTCAGGGGTTGGGGATGAGGCGTGATCACACTTCCTGCTGCCCCATGCCCCATCGGACTCATGTTCTTCCCCCCAGGTGAACCTGGCCCTGCCCATATTCTTCATCCTGGCCTGCTTGTTTCTGATTGCCGTGTCTTTCTGGAAGACGCCAGTGGAGTGTGGCATTGGCTTCGCCATCACCCTCAGCGGGCTGCCCATCTACTTCTTCGGGGTCTGGTGGCAGAACAAGCCCAAGTGGCTGCTGCAGGGCATCTGTGAGTATCTCACCGGCTGCCCCAACCATTCAGTCTGGAGCGGGCAGCTGTGCCCTCAGGCCCGGGCAGCTTGGCCATCTCCACCCTCTAGGCCAAGTGTGGTATGGGAGGCAGGGTCTCCCAGCCCCAGCCGAGGGCTCAGGCAGTGTGTCTGGACAGGGGCGCCCCGTGTTTTGGGCATGAGACACTCCGCTCGGCACCAGCTAATCTCTCAGAACAAAGGATTCCAGGACACCAGGCTGCTCTTGCCAAGTAGCAAAATCCCTCTGTCTGCTGCCAGCTGAGACAGCGCCTGACCTAGAAAGGCAGAGGAGGGGAACAGAATCCCTGTGTGGTGTCCACACTGCAGCAACCCCAGGGTGTGTGTGTGCTGTGCACGGGGCCTCGCACACACCCTGTCAGTGTGGCCAGGCACCTCACAGAAGGCCTGAGTGCCTGCGGACCAGACCCTGATCGCCAGTCGCTAGGTGACTTTGACAAGCCCCAGGGGGGCAGCGATGTGGCCAGGGAGATGCCCATCCCAATTCTGATCACCGCCTGCCATGACCAAGACATTGCCCATCATTTGAGTAGAACATTCGCCTCCAGCCTTGACTGTAGGGTATTTGTGAACTGTCATTCAGAATCACACCAAGGGCCTAGCCAGAAAGAAGCCCTCCATCCTGAAACCCGGGGCAGTTTCTTTCTAGAAAGTCTGAGGTATTTGGCTAGGCACAGTGGCTCATGCCTATAATCCCAGCACTTTGGAAGGCTGAGGTGGGAAGATTGCTTGAGCTCAGGAATTTGAGACCTGCCTGGGCAACATAGTGAGACCTTGCCTCTACAAAAAAAAAAAAAAACCAAATATTTTAGCCAGGCATGGTGGCACACACCTGTAGTCCCAGCTACTCAGGAGACTGAAGCGAGAGGGATCACCTGAGCCCAGGATGTTGAGTCTGCAGTGAGCTGCAATCATGCCACTGCACTTCATCCTGGGCTACAGTGAGACCCTGACTCAAAAAAAAAGTTTGCGATATGACAGTGTAACAGGTTTTCCCAGAGTCCACTGGTTCTGCTTGGCCCCTCTAGTCCACACTGCAGGACAGTGTGGCCATTGTGGTATGTTGGGGGCATACTTGATGCCTGCACATCCTGGGCATGTGCCCAGATGGTGACTGGGTGTGGACCCATGGGAAGGGCCCGTCACTCTCAGCTGTGCTTTGCTGGGGACCCTGTGGCCAGGGTGTTTGGTATATGGGCCGCAGTTGCCAGGGTTCACAGGCTTTGAAGCAGGTGAGGGTGGGCCATGCCGCCCTGGCTTCTCACACCCTTGGAGGGCATGGTGAGGAACTGGGTGAGCTTTGCTTCTAAAGGGGACAGGCGGCCTCCTTGTCCCCCCACCTGCCTGTCTGAACTCACACCCTTCTCTCTCCCACAAGTCTCCACAACCGTTCTCTGCCAGAAGCTCATGCAGGTGGTCCCCCAGGAGACGTAACCAGGAGGGCCCAGAAAGCTGCCGGAAAGAACACACACTGACATCGGAACACAACTCACCCCTCAAAAAGCACCTCCAGTCCCCTCCGTCCACATGGCGTGTCCACACAGCACACTACGCCACCCACCGCCAGCTCACTCCCTGCCTCCCAGGGTGGGCGCCAAGGCTGCTGTGAAACTGGTACGACTTCAGCCCGAAGACAAGCTTCCACAATACCTCAGTGGGCAGGCACAAGCTTGAGCCCAGGCCTGTACTCCCACTGCCTGGGGCTTCCTGCCACACTGGGCCGCCTCCCTTCCTGCCTGTTTACTTGCATTTTTTTAATTTAAATCTTATGTCAAGTCGACACCACCAAGATGACTATTTTTTGAAGAAATGAGGGGGTGAGGTGGGGAGACTTATCACTCCCCCTACACCCCCCGAACGCTGTGCCTCCAGGGGTTGGATCCCTGTCCCCAGCGAACAGAACTACTGAGACTCGGACTGCGCCGTTGTGACCTCGGACCTGCTCTCATGGCCACACAACTGGCCCAGACACGTGCGCTTGACTTTCTTATTTTTTTATTGTGATAAATGCAGTGACCTTCATGAAAATTAACCCTGTGGGTTCATGTCTGTTTGCCTTAAGGCCCCGAGGCAGGTTCCTCCGCAGCACTGAGAGAGGTGTCACTCGAGGAGGGCATGGGGGACAGGACCCATGACTGACCCTGAATCCCGTTCCCCCACCTCCAAGGTGCTCGGCAGGGCCCGGTTTCTGGCTTGAGGATCTGCTGGACTCCTGACCGTACGTCCTACCCCAAGATGCCATCTGAGCAAAGGCATAGACCTGGGAGTGCCAGTGTCTCCCCAGCACACACGCTAGGCCCAGCCTCCGGGCAGCGTGTCCTCTTGGCTGACTCTGCGTCCAGTTTGGGAGGCAAAGCCCTGCTCTCCGGTCTTCTAGAAACAGAAGAAAGGCAGACATGCCATGGCCCGGCTGCCTCGTGGACTCCTGTCTGAGGCTCCGCACAGCCATGTCCCCTCCTGGACATCGCAGGCCTGCAGAACTGGCCTCCATGCCACTGCCAGCCAGCCGGCAGCCCCTTCCAGCTGGGGCTGGCTCCCTGTCAAGGTGCCCGTGTTCCCTCCCCACCCCCGGTCACCCTCACAGCCTGTCTTGGCCCCTGTTGTAAAAGACAAAGCTAGGCCACCCTCCCCTCCCCCTCTACCACCTGCTCCGAGGCCCTGCTGACCCCACAGAGCTGGTGTGGTGTCCCCGTGGTGTTTCTTTCCTGGAACAGCCATGTCCTGGTCAGTATCTCAGCCAATGGCCTACTTTCTTGAGCTGTCATGACTCTGGGGATCCAGGCAAGAGGGAGGTTATCTCAGGTCAGATTGCCAGAGGTGAAGCCTAGAAGATGCCAGGCCTGGCATGTGCTCCACCATCTCCTCCAGTCTTTGGCCTGCTCCTAGGTGGTGGTGGGCCGAATCCTCTCAGGTGGCACAGCATTGCTCAGCCTGACTGGAGGAGCCGTGCCATTGTGGCTGCACGTTGGACACGGCCCTGGGCCCCTCGGCCAGGAGCCACGTGAGCAGGGCCAGGACACTGCCGCACTGCCTTGTTGGCCAGAGGCTGCCTGAGCCCTGTGGCCAGTGGAGCCACTTACCTGGCCTCTGGACCCCTATACCCTCCCATAGGCCCAGAGAAACCTGATTAACAACAGAGGGCTTCTGGGCCGGCTAGACGGGAGCGGACTGGGTATATGCCCTCCTGCATGTGGAGCAGAGCCCTTCCTTCTGGGACCAGAGGCTAATCTGACCATCACTGACTGCTTGAGAGACCAGCTTCCAGGGCGGCCCGTGAGCCAAATCCTTCCCTGCTGATACCACTCAACCAGCTGACATCAGAAGCAGCGCCAGCACCTGGCGGAAAACCAGCTCGGCTCTGCAGTGGGAAAAGCCTCTGCTCCCTGTGCCTCGTCTTCCTCATTTGTAGATGGGGACGGTATGGTGGCCTACCTGCCTGGTGGGTCGTCGTGCGAATCCAGGAGACCATGGACATTGTGGGGGACCATATCCCCTGGTGCAGGACGGACCTCCCTGGATGCACTGACCACCTCTTTCTGCTCCCCGGGTCAGCAGGGCCCAAGTGGTCGTCACCCTCACTCCTCCCCGATTGGGGCCCTTGGGATGCTGTTCATACCACCTGCTGGAGGAGGGCCAGGCAGCCTCATCCAGACACCATGAGGACGGGTTACCCTGCAGGTGATAGTGCTCCTGGGGTCCCTGTGCGCACTGGGCATGGCTGGGGTAGAGGCCTGGTCAGGGCACTCTCAGCATCTGGGCTGGACCTCCGCTTGGATGGTCTGTGACCCTTGGTGCTGGGAACCCCGCTTCAGAACGCAGGGATGCTCAGGGGTTGTGTGCAGTTCCCTGCCTGTCCTCCTCCCCCAGGGCTCCATCATTTTGGAATCTGGGGAGCAGGATTGACCACCGGGCACTGAGAAGACTCGGTTTCTCCCCAGGCTCTGCTGACACGTCTTGAGAGTCCATGTCTGGGTTTTTGGTTTTTTTAAGCACATCTTGACTTAGCAAGCAAGCATTCTGTCCACCTGTTTGCTTCTGCAATTTGTCCTAATGTTCTACTAATGTAGAAGCTGTGTTTAGTGATTTCAGTGGCCATACTCTGAGCACCTCACCTGCCCTATCTGTTCCCAGCCACGCAGGGCCATCCACTGACGCCGGCCAAGCAGGCCGAACACCCTTTGAGTAATGACGCGTGGCAGGGAAGTCATCTGTTCTGTATTCATGGCTAACTTGTTACACTGGGCTGGGTCCAGTGGGAGATACCGGCCAAGCAGGCCGGACAATACCCACTGAATAATGACGCGTAGCGGGGACGTCGTCTGCTGTTTTGTGTTCATGGCTAACCTGTTACACTGGGCTGGGGTGGGTGGGTGTTCTCGGGTTTTTTGTGGTATTTTTGTTCATTTTTTTAAAGAAAATCCGAATCATGCATCCCACCGGTGTCCTGTGTTCTTTTCTTCCATGCCAAATTCTGGGTGGAGGGATGTTCTGGAGCCCCTTGGCCCAGATTCACACATTCATTCATTCACTGACAGCCCTGAGGCCACGAGGTGGAGCTGGACAAGGTGAAGCGGCTGTCTGTGGGGCAGAAAGCACATCACACGCCGGCAGTGGTGCACCTGGCCGCTGGGGCTTCGTGGAACCTTGGGTCTGCCAGGGCCGGAGGCCTCGGTGGGACATGCAGGTGGAGCCCAAAGAGGAGGAGGCGGAGAAGGGTCCAGGTGGGGGTGTGGCAAGGGGCCTGAGGTGGGCAGAGCTTGACCTGGTGGGGCTGAGGGGCCTTGGCCCTCTGGGAGCGTGCCCTTGCACCAGTGGTCAGGAGGCGGGGCCTCCTTCAGTTGGTGGCGGGTACGCATCTCCATCTTTCCATGACACCCCATGCACCTCACCTAATAGGGGAGAGTCAGGGCTCTGTGTGGGACCCCACATTGCAGGGGTGGGCTCCTTCCTGGAGGTTCCTGTCTCCAGGACCCACAGCCTCTCAGCAGGTGAGAAGGTCCTGTGGTTTTGTCACCAGCTGGGAGGTAGCCAAGGGTGCTGGAGGGTCAGGCCCTGAGGCTGGAGACAGCCCCATGGGTGTTCGTGCCTTAGGAACATGAAAAAGCGAAGGGGCTTCCAGGACCCTCCTGGGGGCTTGACAGCCTCCCCGGAATGAGCTGGACCTGAGGCCCCTTCTTGAGAGAGACCCCGCCCAGGGGCGGCCCAAGGCATTCTGGAGTGTGGGTTGGGGACCTGTGTGACAGCGGGGTCCCCTGGAGTGTAGGCCCGGAATCTATATGATCCCTCACCCTGCCCCAGTGCACCAAGGCCCACCTCTCCCCAGTCCGCCCCACCCTGTGAATAACGACCCCCCAGCGGAGGAGGGGCAGCTCAAGCTATTCAAAGGCGAAGGGAACCACCCGGGGCTTACCACCCTCCTCCACGGTGCTACAGCAGACCCCACTGCCTCATGCTGCCTGTCTGGGAGTCTGGGTGCTGGATGTTGAGTGTCTCCAGCCTGGGCAGCCACACTCCCCGTTGGGGACAGGCTGTAGGAATGGGCTTGTGGAGGCACAGGAATGAGGAGAGGACTCAGTGCAGCCACCCAACCTCCAGTCGGACCCAGGCCCTAGCTCCCAATGCAAGCACCCCCACAGGCCCGTGTCAGCACCTGGGGACTCACTGGGACTTGCTGCATGACCCCCGAGGGTGGGGCTGGGAACCAAAGGCAAGCTAGACTTGGGGCGACAGGGGCACTGGGGTGACAGCAGCCCTGGCCTCTACCAGCCCTCACAGACATGAGCAGGTCAGTCACCTTCCAGCCCGAGGGGCCCCTGGTTTCCTTCCAGCCTGAGGGGTCCTGATCACCTTCCAGCCCAAGGGGCCCCTGCTCACCTTCCGCTGCCAGTCCATCCGGCCTCCAGCCCTGCCCGCTCTTTGTGATGCTCCCTGAAACCGGAGAGCTCTCTGAGGTCTGTGTTCCTGGAGGAAGCCAAGGTTCAGGACCTCCATCTGTGTGTTCCCATGTGACAGATGAGGCTCACAGTGCCAGGACAAGCTAGCCTCCCTTCTCGGCCTCCTCAGGGGCCCCCTGAACTAGACTGTCCCCATGGGTCCATCATCGGAACAAGATGCTTCTTGGCCACTCGGCTCAACTTCTCTCCCTTCCCCGAGCCCTGACCTTGGAACACCCTCTCCTGGGCCAGCCCATGACTCCCGAGACGACTCAGGCCCCCTCCACCTCAGTCCCCCCACAATTCCTTCTGGCCTTGTTCCCACTCCCATAAAAGAAGACCCCACATCTGACCCTCGAGACCCTTGTAGAGCCTTGGTCGGAGGAGCAGTGTCTCCCATGGCGATGCCCTCTAGCCCCGTCCTGAAGGAATCCTTTCTTGTTAAGTTCGGGTTTGAGTTTGATTTTACAGTTTATTCTCCGAGGGATTCTCAGCTCAACTCAAGGGGCCGAACTGAGCTTAGAAATAAAACAGGAGCAGCTTCGCTGGAAGAATCGGGAGCAGGGCCTGGGTTTCTGGGGACCAAGAGGGCGGCAGGAGCTTGAGAGGGGGAGGGGCCGGCAGAGTGTCCAGGCTCCTCTGGCGCCCCTCGTTCCCAGAAGACAATGTGCCACCTTGGGAGAGAGTGAAAGCGGCGGTTCCCCAGCGCCATCGGTTTGGGGCGTTGTGCAACTCGTGGGCGTGGCAGCTCCCCCATCGGGATGGAGAGCAGCTGTGCGTGCAACCCCGTGGGGGGGGTCCAAGGACAAGCCTAACGGTCCTCACCCCACTGCGTCCTCCGCCCGGGCCTGCCCACACCTCTCTCCCAGGCGTCAGGAGCTGTCGGGGATTAAGGGCATTCTCTAAGAAGTTCATGGGAACGGAGGGGGGATTAGCTGGGGCCTCCCACGGGGTACAGGGATGGCCTCGGGGCTGCCCAGGCTGCCGCAGAGAGCTTTGACCGAAGAGGTGGGGCCAGGCCAGACACCAAGGCCCTCGCGTGGGGTCTCGTGTTGGGGGGTAAGAGTCCTCCCCGGTTGGGGAGGCCTGGGGCCACATGCCCATTCCCCAGCCAGCCCCTGCAGAGGTCAACGCAGCAGAGGGAAGTTCTGGAAGCTTCCGGCACCCTCTTCAACCCAGAGAGGGTTTGACCTGGAACGGAACTGGTAGAGGTGAGTCTTGTGAGGAATGAGTGCCCAGGCGCTGTGCTTCAAGCAGTTGGCTTGAGTCACCCAGCTGAGTTCCTGCTCGCAGAAGACAGTCATCCTTGGCTACCCGGGAAACAACTGAGTCCTGTCGGAACTGGACCCCAAGAAGCAAGGTCGGCACAGAGCTTGTCTGGTGTGACCACACGCATGGGACAGGAATTCAGGAATTCCTGGGAGGAGGGCAAAACGTGGACAGAGCATGATGGCACTTGTGGGGGAGGGGCTCTGTCTACTTTCACTGGAGACGAGACCAGCCTGACTGGGATGTGGCTGCATCCT